CGTTTTTCAGGCACATTTTCATTGTTTAAGGACGTTCAAAATTGTTCACTCAATAAATTTAAAAACTTGGCCATCTTCTGTAACTCTGGCTCCAAAGGATGCTGAGCTCGATATTCAAACCATTTAAATTTAATCATAGTTCCAAGTTTCTCCACTATGCGGCTCACTAACTCCGGTGAGTATAAATACTGTGGTTGATTCAACGCTTGTATTGTGGCAACCACGTTCGTAATATGACTTGCAAAAGATCCTATATTCCGGCAATCTTGGCATACGCTTTACATTCTCGATTTCGGCTAAAATGAGCATCTCAACCCTACCGAATCTTCTTTCGAGAGCGTTCATTATATCTTCAGGTTCACACTATGTAAACAACAACGACTTAACCGCTTCCTTAGCGGTGCCCTTTAATGCCCTCCTAAGGCGTGCGACATTCTGCACCCCTGAAAATTCGCTTCTCGTGTCTTCAAACACCGTTTTGAAAATTATCCATTCACCCGGGTCTCCATCGAACACCGGTAATTCCCGGAGGAAATGAAGCTGGAAGTATATGCCATACAACTTTTGGTTCGTACGTAGAGCTTCCAAAGCGCCTCGTCTACATGATTACTCCTACACTTCCTATATCGCCCTCACCTTACTTGCTTGTTTATACTCTAAGACCCCGACTCACTCATCACGTTTTTAATTCACGCATTACGTGTGGTTATTATATTGCAACTGAACTATGTTATGAATTATAATATAATTTATTTTCAAAATAAGTAGTTTTAATTTATAATATATGGCCATCAGAGGGGTGCCGATTAAGTGAATCCACCTCCGGGAATAAATAACGCGATGTCACAAATAAGTAGTCTCTATTTGTTACATAGTACCTGCACTTCACTATCACTATCATCGTGCAAGCATACACATAATCGCCGTACCCCGTAGTAGTTTGTCAAACAGCAAGCATCGAGATGGACGTGGAGTGTGTTGCTGCTGTAACAATTTATTTAATAGCGCTATACAACCATTATGTCAATGTCACCACTTGTGTCTCGGATTCCAAATTTCGGGACAGGTCTGATAAACTTCAATGAACTTGAGTATCTCTTCACTTGACCACCCACTAGCCATTTGTATGTACTGAGTTAATTATACACGCATGTATGCAATGCTTCACTGTCCAACAGCGAATGAATGATCGGCGTAATGTTGCCAGATTTTTTCCAACTTCCCCCCTAGATTTTTTCAAAGAACCCCTAGTTTTCCTATATAGGGGGATAAAAAACCTCTGATTTTTTATTCGGACAAGTTTCGTGTGAATCAGATTTATCAAAAATGAAAAAGTTACTACTACACACAAACAATGAAAACTAAGTTAATTTTTAAAGTTTTTATTGTTTTCATCTCCTACGCATTTCGTCAACCATGTCTTGAACACTTCTTCATCCTCCCGAGATATTTTATATTTTTGAGAGTACTGTTTGATTTTATTCAGAAAAGACATCTTGGAATTATTAGTTATCCTTGATAAAATAATTCACAAAATAATTCGTAAATAACTTATCTTTGACTTTTGTTTAGTTGTTTAACAAAGGGCGGTGAGTGTAGTTGGTCGATTCAGTTCTTTTTAAGTTTCTTGGCTGTGGGGGTGACTTTTAGCCGAAATCATAGACAAAACAGTTTGATGGTAAATGAATGTGTTGCCAGCTTATAAGTTTTATTATCCCACTCATTTTATTCGGTGAAATAAATTGTCGGCATTGTCTATTTTGAAATAGAATTGGGAAGTTGGTGAGACTAGTGAAAAACCTCTAGATTAATTTCGTGATATTTAAACCTCTAAAAAACCTCAACGACCTCCAAAAACCCCTAGATTGAGGAAAAACCTCCAGATCTGGTAACACTGGATCGGCGATCGTGTGGACACCTCAACGCAACCACCCGGCGATTCCCTTTGATGCGTGCCCGAAAAACCGACAATTCACGGATCGAGGCAATCTACATGATTGCCTCGATCCGTGAATTGACGATGATCGGCGAGTAGAGCCGAGTATGCCCTCTACACGATCGTGTTCGTGCGTAATCGTTTGTATTTGCTGATTATGAAGTGGCTATGGCTCCTTTTTTTCCTCTTTTCTTTTTAGGGTTGTTTCTCTTGATTTTTTTTAAACAAAACAGATGTGAATGCTGGTATTAAGCATGTTACAAATACCGATGCAGATATCTGTTTCATTTACATTCGATGTGTTTTGATCATTTTACAACACATCATCTATCAATTTCTAACAAGGCTTAGTCATTTGTGCAGTATTTACAATTCAATTTGTCATCCGTGTCCGACAAAACAATCTTATGTTGGAAATGAAATTACTCAGCACATCGTGACAAGAGTTTCAAAAACCAATATTTATTATTTATTCCATATCGACTTGCACACAATCTACCAGATTGTAGGTGAATGATGTGGGCTCATAGACATCTTCATCTATCCTTCCATCCATCTACTTTTACCCCCGAGTTACCACTAAAAAGGATCTCCTGTTTTCGTTTGTGAGCGCGTGGTCCTTCTTTCATTGGGCCGAAACTTTGGTACTGCAGCCGTATTATTGTGCTGTGTAACGTGACTCTACCACGTAGTTCAGTCAGTCACATTAAAAATAAAATGCCTTATCTTTAAGGAGTCATTGAATATTCGCGGAGCAGTAATAGTAAATGACGCCTTAAACAGGTTTGAAGCTTGGCTGGATAAAGGGTTATGAATACGTATCTACTAGATGTTGCGGTAATTAAAAAAGATAGAAGTATAAATAGAGATATAATATATACAAAGAGTGAAATAAAAAGGAGTGATATTTATATATCTATATAATAAAATAGTATATATAGATTATATAAATATCACATATGGTATTTATATCGTCGAATTTCATAAGTGTTATTAGACGGACGGATAATAGCGAGTGCAAGATTTACCAGATTATGTAACTAAGTGGTAAATATACTGTTTCGTATTTATGAGTAAGGTGAATCTCAAAAAATCTAGGTTATCAAGGTTAATTATATTGTAACTAATGTACTTATTTAATAAATGTTTTACCGATGGGGTATAAAGGTTCACTATTGTCAGCCTTGTCCAAATATGAAGAAAAAATGTCCATACCCATAGCTCACACCGCTGCATTGGAAGACATTTTCAAGCTACTGGACTCTCAAGAATACGGTATCAATATTCAGTGCGAGTACCTCACTCACCTCCGATTTGCCAACAATAAATGCGATGATGACAATCATGTGTGAGGTCCAAGTCACACCTATGTCGTTAGTTGTTTAGAACACTTCACTCGAAGTTAAAGTGAGTAAGTTTACCAAGGACTTTCCCGAACAGCTAAATTCAACTTCAACCGAAAGGTTAATCGACAGATTCATGTAGGTTAACTTATACGGTATACCTACCTAATAACTTGAAAACAACTATGTATAATATGTGGCGCGTGTTGCCAGTGATAATATAGGTATCTGAAACGTGGTCCTTTATTGCTGGCCGTGTTAAGAAGTTCAAGTTCCTTCAGAGAACTATGAATAGCTTTGGTATTACTATGACTATACAACAAAGTTGAAGTCGCAATGGACCGCGGCCTTATAGGTCGAAGAACCGATAACCAATAGATAAGCAAGTTTCTCGAGTGGAGTCATTGCCGAGTTTTCATTTGCACTTGTTAATATTTTCCATTCCTTTTTTTATTTCCTTCAAGATTAACGTTAGCAAATGCCACTAGGTATTAGTATAAGCCCTTTGTAACATATCTTGAGATGAGTGCAAGTAAGGTAAAATCAAGGTCTGTTTAATCGGGAGGGATCACTCTCGAATATCAGCGTAAAACAGCAGTTAAATGCTGCTATGTTTTGTATAGTAAGTCAAAATAAAACTGAAATAGAAATTCTAAAAGGGAATATGTTTGTGGGCCACTGTACTTCTTCCTTCGACCAGAACACCTACGTAAAATTGTACATATAATGCCACGACGTTTTGTGAGGTGAGTAAACAGAACCGGTGACCCTTTTTGCTATTGGAGATATTCCATATTTTTCTTCAAGGGTTACAACGCAACTGCATCTAATCGAGCATAGAATGCGTGCGTCTGTAGACCACAGCATCCAGTAACCATCGGTGAACTGTACACGTTTGTCATCATAAACTCTATTAAAATATTTTTTTGATATGATATAAAGTAAAAATCATGGATAACACAAAGCGTTATTTATTTTTCTCACTTTATTTTATTTACACTCTTAATTTGTTGGTACGTCTATTAGTGATTGTATAATATTCAAACATATTTTTTTTCAAGTCGATGGTCTATGCTAGGATTGGAGAGTTGGTAAGAGTTCCATATTTATGGACCAAAATTACTCACATTTATAATATATTATGTTCAAATATCTGTATAGTTTAGTGACAAAAAACAAAATCACAAAATGTGGTCATTGTAGGCGTGTTTTAAAAAAAATGTTAATAATCTGTATATAATCCGAAGCCTATTGCGTGGAACTCCACATACTAGAAAGGGCAGAACAACATCTACTGAGCTATCACTTATGTCTGTCGTATAATTATTCATAACGGGTACGTAAGAATTTATCAAATTTGTTCAATACGCATACTAAAAATGGACTACATATTATAAATACGGTATGTTTTTAATATACCTAACAATTATAAGTCACTGCGACATCCATAGCAGCTTAAAAACAAGAAAAACATTCAGATATTCATTCGACTTTCAACTCTACTTGTGTTTTGTTCTCTGACTTTTACATATGCACTTAAGTTTTGTGTTATCTTTGAATAAACCTAATTTTGTAATATCTCAAAAGTGAGGCAATTACAAATAAAGTGAATACCAGAATACTTTAAATTGCTTTGTGTGTTTGAATGAAAGTCAGAAAAAGTTTAAAAATACTAATATTTTTGATAACTTCACTCACAAGAATTAAGGGGCACGGCAATCATGGTGTGCCAGAACCGGATATACTTGATTAAACAGGTAGATTTTTTTATATATGCACCAACCCTACTGTTTTTAATAAAACCTTAGAAAGATCCTTGGGAAAGATCAAAATATATTTGTTTATTCTAGTCACATTAATTTTATGTTCTATGGACGGCCACTTTTATTCAAAATATATATAAAAATAAAATATAATATATCTATAACTAGAGAGGGGTGTGGGGGGTATAGTTATAATTTGCATATATAAAAAATATATATATATATATATATTATATATATATATATATATCCCATCACAAGTCCACTGCTGAACATAGGCCTCCCCCAAGGTATGCCACAAAGCACGGTCCTGAGCCACCTGCATCCATCGACTTCCTGCATGTCTTACCAGGTCGTCACTCCATCTAGTGGGGGGTCGCCCTACACTTCGCCTACCGGTACGAGGCGAGGAGAGGGTGCAGTCCGATTTCATTAGTATACTAAAATAGGCACATGACAACGGCATTATAGTTAACGTATCGAAGGTAATCTACATGTACGAGAAACCTAGTGAAGAAATTAACATCTTTGGTCATTCGTACGAGTGCTTACATAATAAACTGGAACAATGCAAATGTAAAACCATAGAATTTGTGAATAGTTACAAATTCTTAGGGTTAACAATGTCTATTCTTGTTCTACACAGTTTTGTAGTTTTAGTTGGAAATTGCATATTGATATTGTCTGTGATATATTATGATCCATATCTTTTTCTATTTAGACCTCTGTCTATATAGGCTTGACACGAGAACTTTAGTCGCCATGTTTTTATACGGTATTTCGGCAAAAATGACAAGTTTTAAAGTGGAGTCCGTTGAGTCCCGTTTTCTCAAAGAAAGTAGAAGCGTTACAACAAAAATTACAACGCAGAAGCGCAGAATAAGAAATTTAAAAATCTACAACGCATAATTCAGAAATGCTTTTCGACGATAAGTGATCTGAAAAGGGTAATCGAAGAAATGCCCGCTAGAACAATCAATCTATTGCGGCCTGGGCAGTTAACCAGCAAGACCGACTTGCCGACTAAGGTACAGAGACCAAGTGCGAGCGAGACACCGATATCTTCAGATACAGCCGCTTTATCGGAGAAAGGAATAACGCAGCGCGCTGGGTGAGCAATGCAGCGGACTAAAAAGGCTGTTTCCACACTGAAAGTAAAAAATTCTGAAAAAGAAGATTTAACTATAATTGAAACGTCCGCGACTGAAGAATGGAAACTAGTAGGTAGTAAGGGGCCATAAAAAGTCTAAGAAGCCCCATCTTAAGGCAGTCCAAACTGGAGGAAACGCCCAATTCGGTTCGTTCCAAGCTATACAGAAGAAGAAGTTTTTACATGTGTGGTCACTCCAACTTGAAGCCTCGGAGGATGCGATAAAGGAACACGAGAAAAAAATTATGGTTCTGAGAATATCAAAACTGAAAAGATTGTTTAAAAAAACAAGAGAGACTATTCTTTATTCAGGTTTGGTGTTCCAGAATTCACGTTTGAAAAAGTGAACTGCAGAGACAGTTGCCCAATACATACCCGACTTAATGAATGGGTGTGGTTTCGAAACACGCGTAAATCAGCAACAGGCAATGAAAACCTGAACCTGGTGGAATAAAGACTATGTTTATTACCAGAATGTTAGAGGACTTACAACAAAATTATCTACTTTTTATTTGAATATTTAGGAGTTACCGTACGACTTATTTGCAATTACGGGATCAAGTCCTCATAGATCCATTCATGACGGTGAAGTTATCCCGCCTGGTTTCAAAATACTGCGATGCGATCGAGCTCATGGCCGCAAACACTTCAACATTGAGATCTCAGACGAAATAAAAACTCAAGACAGAGCGCTGTCTGAGCGAGTTTTACCGGCCTCAGTGCGTTATTCGGCGGGGATCTGTCCTGAGTTTTTATTTCGTCTGAGATTGAGATGCGTTCTGTAGACAATGTGGACACCGCCTTATTTGAAATTGTGCGTTGTTAACACCCCAGTGGTGTAGCTAGAGAATATATGCAATTATTTCTTATATTATAAAATATTTGTGTTAAATACAATAATGTTATAGTGCTTGGTGACTTTAATATGACTTCAGCAGCTGTGAAAATGCACAGTTATATGGGATATTTCAACGCCGTCTGTGGATTTCGCCAGGTAAATAATGTCCGTAATATTAACGACCGTAATTTAGATTTATTTATTATATGGACAACAAAACGGCTAACAATCAAAATACCTATATTTATATATATATATATATATATATATATATAAATATATATATATATATATATTTATATATATATAACAGTTTTGTGCCAGATTGTTTTCCTAAGTATGTTGACACATCACTTTCATATTTTACTACAGGAGAGATCAAATCTAATATATAATAAATTTAAATTCTATGTGATATGGGAATGAGTGTGTATGACTGTAAGCTCTTTTGCTGTTCTTTTGAATATCCTTGATCGGGTTAAATATATCCAAGCCGGAGTCTTTAATGAATATCTCGTTGCAAAGTCGACTCATTCTTATTATCGGGTTGTAAAAAGAAGTATTATTCTTATAAGTTAACCGGAATCAATCTCATTATGGAGAATAAAGAGGGCACTTTAAATTTGTCGAGTCTCTCACTATAACCGACAAGACTGCTAGCAAGACCACATTTGTAGCTAAGTATTCTAAGTTAAGTTCTAACTTAAGTTCTTTTTTGGACGCTTTCTATACTATCCGAATGCATCGTGTAGCAGGGAGACCAAATGATTAAGTGTTTAAAACGTTTTTAGCACGTGACGTAAAGTGTAATGACCCGTTAGTAGATATTGACGTATAGCGTCCCGCGGTGTATGTCAGCGTGATGTTACCCTCTTATCATTCCCCATCAATTCGGCTTCCGAGCCAAACACTCATGTCCCCAACAAGTTCACCGCATTGTGGAATATATCCTCAGCGGTTTCTATCCTCGTCGTCATAAGACCATCGCGGTCTTTTTCGATATAGCCAAAGCTTTCGATAGAGTCTGGCACACAGGCCTTATCTACAAGCTCTATAAAATAGTCTCCCCGATCGTCTAGTTCATCTCGTGGCCTCCTATTTAAAACATCGTACCTTTCGTTTCAGACACGAAGGCACGCTCTCTTCACAGCGAACTATCAAGGCTGGTGTCCCTCAGGGCTCAGTACTTGCTCCTCTGCTGTACATCATATTCACCAACGACATTCCCATCCCGTCGAAAGGTGTTCAACTCTCCCTCTTTGCAGACGACACTGCCATCTACTGCAAAGGTGTCTCACTACCCTTCATACGGAACAAGATCCAAAAGTCAGTTGATGACCTAGGGAGCTTGGTTCAAAAAAATGGCGCATCGATGTGAACCCGGAGAAGAGCTCCGCCGTTCACTTCGATTATAAACGACGCCGTCTCAAAAACACTCCACCAATACGTATGCTAGGGACCCCTGTCCCCTGGCATACGTCCGCCAAATATTTAGGTGTCACTCTAGACACAGGGCTCACTTTCAAGCCCCACGTCAAAAGAGTAACCCGTCACGCACGTTTTTATCTGAGTAGGCTCAACAGTATGTTGGGCCGACACAGTAAAATGTCCCTTCGAAACAAGCGTACACTCTATAAGGTATGTATACGACCAGTCATGTCCTACGCGGGCCCCGTCTTTGCCCACGCAAACCCTAACATTTTAAATGAACTCCAAATAGTTCAGAACCTATTCTGTCGTCGAGCTGCGAACGCACCGTGGTACGTCCGCAATGCCGACCTTCATCGGGACTTAGAGCTCCCAACAATTCAGCAATTTCTTAAAAAACTCTCTGAGAACTTCTTCAAAGCCTCAGAGTCGCACCCAAACCACTTAATTCGTGAGGCAGCTTCTTATGCAGCCCCACCCCCCCTCTCGCTATCGTGTCCGCAGGCCGAGAAACTCTCTCTCGGACCCGCCTAATAAACTCTCAAACGACCTGAACTGTCTCCTGGCAGCTCAGGCCAACTCTAATTAAATAAAATTATTGTAATATCTGACATTAATTTGCCTTCGTAGGCACTCCCTCAGCGGCACTTAGCCGCCTGCGCCCTCTTTTCCCAAAAGAGGGTCGCTCATGATAAGGCACAATAGAGCTTAATCAGCCGGTTGCCTGTCCCTAAAGGCGGTTTTTAGGGGGTATCACTTAGGGTCCCCGGTAGGACAGTGAGTCCCCCATAACCACGATAGACCGGCTATCGTGGTATGCGTAATGCATTTTCCGCCTCCCTACGTACAGGGTAGCCCTTTAATTGCTTCGGGCGCAAAAAAAAAAAAAAAAAAAAAAAAAAGTCAGCGTGACGGTGTACACTGCCAGGGAGCCGCAGGTGCAACACTTCCTTTCTCGTAACGACATTGATAAATGTTATAATAAACGGAAATGGAATTTCTATAAAGACAATTTTCATTTATTGTATGATAGGTTTCACCAAATTGATTTTCATTACATTAGTAGTATAGTTGTAGCACGAATGGGTCGGCTCGGCCGGGGAAGGACCACGCTCTCACAGAATACCAGCGTAAAGTAGTAGCTTAATGCTGCTGTGTTTCGTATGATGAGTGTAGAGAACCGGAGACCCTTTTTACCGGAAATGAGGCATTCCACCTAAGTCCTCACGGATGACAACGCATCTGCATTTTGATTCGTAATCGAGGATAGATGTAGATGTTTATGGGCCACAGCAACCACCTACCATCCGGTGGACTGTGTGCTCGTTTGTCATCCTATCCTATAAAAAGAATTGATTGGGATCATTTGTATGAAATTGACACCCCAGATGTAGCCATATCGTACCTATACAAGGTTGTAAAAGTGATAGTAGACCGTTGTATTCTTAGAGCCCGTAGGGCCTAACATAATAGGAATCATTCCAGGTATGTTTAGCAGGAACGGTACTCATTTGATTTAATACGCGATATAAAGCGAAAGTGGAGGTATCATAAACTGTATAAAATGACGGATGCGCAAGTCATTACGAAGCGTTTTCTTGGTTATCGATCTCAGACAGAATATAAGTTAAAAGTCAGTTACGAAACCCACCAAGAGAAATTACATAATTTTAAGGACGATCCGAAATCCTTTTGGAATTACGTTAGATGTAAGCAGTCTAGACGTAACAAAACTTGAGTGACAAAAACGGTCTAGAGCTAAGTGATCATTCTTGTGCGCAATGTTTCGCGTCTTATTTTAAATCTGTGTATAGCGAGACGCGGCCGATGCTGGAGCCGGAGGTGGCGGAGTGCGTGGAGAACGAGCGTGCTGGCGCAACTCGTGTGCACGTCGCGTCGGCCAGCTGAGCGCGCGCGACATACGCTCCGCTCTCGCACGCCTCGAGCCTAAGCGCTCTGTGTGCCCTGACGGTATACCACCTTACATCGTCAAAGACTGTCGCTCTTTTTAAAACGCCTCTGCTTCACGTTTTTAACCTGTGTCTCCGCGAAAGCTACTATCCCGAAGAATGGAAAATGACAAGAGTGATACTGGTTCCTAAGGGAAATTCGGCTTCAGATGTGAGCGAACAACCCGTGGCGGTGCTGTCTGTGTTCGCCAAGGTATTTGAATTCTCATTACAAAAATGTGTTTATACGCAGTTCAGTTCACAGCCGGCCGACAACGTTCAGCATGGGTTTCGCCCGGGTCGAAGTACAGCGAGTAACTTGCTGTCGTTTATGACAAATCTGACACCAGCTATCGACACTCGAGGGCAGGTAGACACCGCTTACTTCGACTTTTGGATAGCTTTTGATACCGTGGATAACGTATTCCTTTTTAAAAAAAATGCGGCGTTGAGTTTCACACCGCATCTTTTAAAATTTTTCGCGAGTTACCTTGGTGAACGCAGACAGTACGTCGAGTTCACTGAGTATGAATCCGAACCGATGGTGTGAGCCAGGGGAGTAATCTGGGTCACTAGCAGTTCTAGTATTATTGATAAATGATCTCGCAGAGGTCGTTAGGTTCTCGAAATGTCTTTGTTTGCAGACGACTTAAAATTGTTTTTGTGGGTAGCGTAGGTTTCAGATTGTGAGCAGCTGTAGCGAGATATAGATAGGGTCATGTAGTGGAGCACAAATAATAAGTTATATTTTAACACGTCGAAGTGCGAGGTAATAAGTTACGGGCGCAAACAGGCGCCGTTGCAGTACCGGTACGAGGTTGATGGCACGGTAATGCCGCGCGTTACTTTCGTACATATACATGATTTAGGTGTGCAGTAGGTAGCTGAGTTAACGTTTCGTAAGCACATATTAGATATCTGCGGTAAGGCCTTCAGAAACTTAGATTTTAAATTGAGGAATTGCAGGGATTTCCTTAATACAGGGATGGTTAAAGTTTGCTGTATTTAGTCGCAGAAGGTAATACACTCTGGCACTCGTTCCTGGAGAAGAGAGGCTGGAAACGAGTGCAATTATTTGCAATCCCCATGAAAATAAGTATATCAACATGGTGGAAAAAAGACAAAATAAATTCACGCGATCTCTTTATTGAAAGGAGTACAGTGCCTATCCTTTCTATCCGCTGATGTAACCGATCTTGATCGTGATCGGTCGGATCGAGGACAAATATCCTCAGGTTTGCGCCTATGTCACCTGCTTTAAAATTATTGAATATTATTTCCGAAGAAACAAACATTTACCACTGCAGCCTGGCAAAGTTAAAATAAAAAGTAAAATAATTACAAAAAAATCTTTTTCATCAGATTTTTTTGTGATAATTTTTCTTAATTATAATATTATATATATTTTTGTCAGTAGTTATATTTTTAGTTGTTTTTGTACAGCATTGTCTTGGTTTTATACTGTTATGATGCTGTTACTGTTTTGGTAATAAATAAATAAATAAAATAAAAAATATCTCGGCTTAATAACTTAAAATTTACAGTGGGTGGCATATGCAATTAGCCCATATAATTGCATACGGACGTACTTTTCAAACATAATATACAGATAAAATTCTTATGTTACAAGTTAATGAAATTGATTTTGATGAAAAAACAAAGAAAAAGTATAATATAGACGGAAACTAAGTATAATAACTTATTTAAAAATGTAAAATTGTAATGTAAAACTTAAGTACGTACCTCAATGCAATTGCATTAGAGTTTAAAACATTTAGGCAATATAACAAAAATATTAGAATTACTTCTCGAAACAAATATAGAATAGAGTTAACAATTATTAAGGCATGAGGATGAGAAAAATCTGGCCTACCTCGTGAGGTCGTGAGATATTTTCTGAAAAAGAATGTGCAAATAAAAAATAGTTTAATGGAAATTGAAGGTGTGGTTGCTGAATAATGATTGTGTAATTATAGTTAATAATTAATATTGTCCTTAATTTAAATGAATATTATATGTGTAATTATTAATGAGTTTAAATATTAATATGTTTAAATATAATAAGGTAATCACACTAGTAACAGCGTTTAGTTTAAATTTTTATTAGTTATTTTTTTGATTAGTTTAAAATTTAATTGCCTTGTTTTCAGTTTTAAGGTTTATTTTATTTACTGACAAAGTTTATGTGTATTTTAAGTTTTAAGGGTTATATTAATTACAGTAGGTACATAAAATTAATATATTCGGCAACATAGAGTTATTTGCTTATATGTACTACGTACTAGAGAAGCTATTCCAAACAAAAATGTGCACTACTCTGTATCCGCACATGCGCGGGAAACAGTAGAGTCGCAGCATGCGCAGTTGATATAAACGCGCGAAAATTGTCATAATAAATAATTGTTTATTTAGATTGTATTGTTAATAGAGCACTTTTTTTAATTTTCGTTTATTTTGCACATGTGCTAATTTAATATAAAATTTTTATTAGCGCCGCTCCGCACTGCATGAATATCGAAGCCACAATAACTACAGTACCAGTTCAATTGAACATGTGAGTGTTCGGAATGCCATATCTAGTGCGTAGTACATATTATATCGATATTCGGCAATCAACTGCCCTGCAGTTTAGCAAGTTGTATAAAGAACAACCGACTGTATTTTTGTGTAATAAATTAAAACAAATCCAAATTTATTATAACAATCACATATAACCTTCTACTACTAAACTAAATTCGATTAGCTAGGAATAGGGGGCCGCCGGGGACTCGGGGGCCGTTTCTTTTTGACCGTTTCTTCTGTTTACCACAGTTGCCACGCTTGGAAAGCGGGTTGGCAACCTCAGATTGTAGTTTTTGCTGTTATCACAAAGATACTGCTGCCCATCTCCTGTCTCAGTTTCTCTATGTCTCGTCTTACGACACTCACGGGAAGATATGGGTAGTGGAGACTCTTATTAGACCTGATTAGAGTGATTAGATATGCAGGAAGTCCATGGATGCAGGTGGCTCAGAACAGTGCTTGGTGGCATTCCGTGAAGGAGGCCTACGTTCGGCAGTGGACTTGTAAAGGGCTGTAAAAAATCGATAGGATAAAAAATTCTGACATTTTTAATAAATGCCTCAAAGCGTCAACGATAAGCACCGGTGTAGATATTTCAGATCTAGAAACTTCTAAGATAGTTATTCCACAATCTAAGAAGGCTATGTTTGATTGTTTGATATAGTTTCCTAAAACAGCAATTCTGACTACCAAAGGACTTACAATATGTTCTATTCTATTCAGTCCAGATTGAATACATATAAATTGTACATGAATAAGAATTGGAAAAATACTTTGTTACATTTCAGATTACCGCAACATCAGTATCCGGTTTCTTGTCATTATGTGCAGGCCTAGCATTTGGGTTCAGCGCAGTTTTATTACCCCAACTTAAAAAGGACGAAAATTTTCCATATGATGAAAGTTACAGCTCTTGGATCGGTAAGAAATAGTTTTAATTTTAAAAAAAACTACTAAATATGTAATTGTTTTGGAAACGGCTCTAACGATTTGGATGAAATTTTGTACTACCCAAGTTTATCCAGATAAGTTTAATTCTTAGAGAATAAATAAGCAAGCGGTGCTTATGTATCTCTAAGGTTTCATCCCTTTAACAATTTTTTTTGTAACGCTGAGTACACTTTACTAAACTAAAGTAACTAAAAATGATCTTGTTTGACTTTTTTTATACAAAACTGACATCAATCAATTTTCCAAGTTAACTTTAACATCAAGATTTTTATCAACTATCAAGATTATTTGCTTTATAGTTTCCTTGTAATATTAACACTTGCTGCAACCTATCAAAAGTCCATTGCCAAACGTGTTAGAACGTAAAGTAAATATAGTTTCGCATTTATTTTAATATTTTGATATAATAAAGAACAATAAAATTTTATTTCAGCTTCCGTTACTCCGTTGTCAATGGTTCTTGGCTGCCTTTCCGCCGGCTCTATTATCGATGGACTTGGAAGAAAACCGGGCCATATTATCTTGGCCTTTTCTTTCACCGTCAGTTGGCTCATCCAAGCTTTCGCCAAAAACAATCAAGTTATGCTATTGGGAAGATTTTTTACTGGGATATGTACTGGTGCAATAAGACCGATTACTTTAGTATATCTAGGAGAAATCGCAGATCCAAAATACAGGGGACTTATGCTTTTTACTCCACCATTAACACTAAATGCTGGTATAATTTTAAACCATGCATTAGGCGGTTTTGTTTTTTGGAGAACAAATTCGTTAGTTTGTGGTGCTCCGAGCATGATATCGATAGTTCTACTCTTAATTTTAAAAGAAAGCCCTTTGTGGTTAATTTCAAAGGGGAAGATCGAGGAAGGAGTAGAAATTTTTAAGTGGTTTAGAGGAGAGACAGACGCAGCAGAAAAAGAGCTGAAATCGATATTAGAAAAGCAAAAAACTAAAACTTCAAATGTATCTATGAAGGATTACTTGAAAAAGGATTTTCTAAAACCTCTCCTGATTTCCTTCTTCCTCGCAATAGCTTCGCAATGTAATGGAGCTAATGTTATAACGTTTTATGCGCAAGATATTCTAGAAAAACTTATTCCACACGACTACGATCCTTTCACGCTTATGATTACAACGGATTGCGTGAGATTATTTGCAGCTCTTGTAATATTTTTTTTCGGAAACCGCTTTCCAAGGAAAATATCGTTCCTCGTATGTATCTTTGGAGCTTCCCTCTTACTTTGTGGTTTATTAGGTTTATTATATTCAAATTTTACTAAATTAAAATGGCTGTCGGTAGTATTGTTAATAGCCTATGTAGCACTAGCTAGTGCTACAGTAACATTTGCCTGGTCGTTTGTAACCGAGCTGTATCCTTCTAAATTAAGAGGGACAGGATCAGGTGTGAGCGCTGGAATCGCATATTTATTGTTATCTCTTATGGTTAAAGTAACACCAGGAATAATATCAGCATTTGGAGTAAAAATTTTGTTTTTCTGTTTTGCAGCGATAGCGACTTTAAATGCAATCGCTTTGTTTTTCTTATTGCCTGAAACTAGTGGAAGAAGTCTACAAGAAATAGAAGATGGATATGACAAGAAAAATATTATTATATCTAAGTTATGATACAATAGAAAATTTTATTAAAAATATTACATATAATAAAAAATGTGGAACTTTATTGTAATCAGCTGTTCATAGTTATTAATAAATGAAATAATTCAGAGTAAGGGGAGACGTAGATTTAAGAAAACGCGAACGTATTGGGTTTGATTCACGGAGCCGGAACCACAGAAATTGTATACACGGGTACATATTACAATTTGAAGTGCTTAATAACCACGTGGTGCGTGAGTACATCTAAGATAAACATCGTAAGGAACTACAATATGAATCTAAAAAGTCCGTAAATCAACTTACAACTGTGGTAAACCAACATTAAACAAAGAAGTCCCACAAATGTGATTATATTGGACTTGACTGTCGTTGGTATTTGGTTATTATATTGGACGTGTTTCCCTTCATATTGGAACACAGCAGTGGGTGTGTGACTTCTTGACTCCTAGCCAACAAAAAAGCAAGAAAATAGTACTAACTCACACGGACACCTAGATAGAAAAGAAACCCAAGGACCTAGTTATTACTAGAGACTAAACTTGTTTGAGTAGTTAAATTATTATTGACTGAGTATAATGATGTAGATGATATGAAAATAGTTGTTTTTTTTTATATAAAATTTAAGACGGTAATTTTGACTTAATTGTGGACTGGAGTAAAAACAATAAAGAAAACAAAACTAATAATAATAGGCAGTCAAAAAATAGTTACTGTTATAGATTTTCCTACTCTATCTAATATTTCGACCGACACGAGCTGAGCAGTCAAAGACGGGGGTCCGCACTACCCCCCTCGGACAGCGGTTAGATAGCTCAAAAACGCCTAAAAAGGCGACATGATGATTGGTAACTATACCAAATCATAAACCATTCATCATCATCCTCACGTCATTGCCTTTCCCTTTTTTAATTAGTCCTGAGTCAGATGAAGCTGTAAGAGTCGCAAAGACTAACAGCGTTAACATCCAGAAACTGGACTATCTGGTATTGTTTTTGATGGGACACCAGTAAATAGTGACACCGTTAAAAATCTAGGTGTTACTTTTTACAAATTTTTATCTTGGGCTCCGCAGGTAAGCGAGGTGAACAAGAGGGTGTTTGCATCGGTCAGATCTTTCCGTAGATTAAGCAGTTTCCTACCCATATCAACCAAAATTATTATTATATTATGCTGACACGTTCAATTTAAATGAGGAATTGCATAATAAACTTGAGCGCATTCAGAACCTTGGATACGGTTCATATTTGGACTTCGAAAATATGACCATGTTCCCGAATTTCGCGAGAACTCAAGTGGCTTCCGATCCGTCTTCGCAGGAATATTCACATTCTTTCTCTGTTATACAGTGTTATATTCAATTCCACTTTCCCTACTTGCCCTCTATCTCTCCTAATATCGTTCATTTAAAAACTACACAAAAAAAAGGTTCTCGAGTGACAGCCTCGTAACGGTATACGAAGTTGAGGGTGAGCCCCTCTAAATGGAGTGACGACCTGATAAGGACATGCAGAAAGTATATGTGGATGCAGGTGGCTCAGACCCGTGCTTTGTGACATTCCTTTGTTCAGCAGAGGACGTGTGAAGAGCTGTAATGATAATGATGATGATGATGATATACCTCGTTGCCATTTTAGTCTGTATTTAAAAAAATAGTCGAACCCACACTAGAAACTTCTATTGTATATGCGGAAGCGTTTTACACTCATAAATTACATTTGGGCAAACATCAAGACGGAACAAATAATTTAAGGTCAAATAACGGTTCCGTGCGGAATTCAAAACCACGGTCAAAATGGCCGAGGCGCCGGGTGAGCCCTACGGCATTGATTTATATATTATTGTTACGAGCTTGAGGTTCGTGACAATAAAAATTGCCGATAAAATTACCTAAATTAACGCTTTAATTTACTTTACACAAATTAAAGTTAAAAACACTAATAATTAAACACACTAATTCACTTAATTCCGCTCCGAAGCTTCGCTTGTGTCGCCGAGTTCAACTATATTTCTCGCATCTTGCAGCCCCATATATTTAAATTAGCAAAGAAATATCCAGAATGTTCAAGTAAACACGCGCAAGGTACCGAGCGTTCGAGTTTCGACTAGGCGCTGTCGGTTGAGTGATTTGTGATGTCATTTTCTCAATGCTCCCCTCGCTCTCGTTCCTGACACTAGATGGCGCTAGTTGACTTATTCATGCAACATTATTATAGTATTATAGTAATGTTGTATAAATCAATGCCCTACGGTAACACATTTTAAATTCGCAGAATATTTGTGTCTTATCAAAACAAAGTGGTACTAATCTTTTTTTCAATTACTTTGATGCCTTAGATTAACTAATTCATAATATTTGTACTTAATAACAGAATCGTGTAATTAGGATGAATGGTTTTAACATTTCTAAAAAAATCTATAAGCTAATAAATTGCAAATTATCGCCAGTCAGATTCAAGTCTAACTTACGCTTCATTCTCTTCTCACGGCATTATTTTTTATCCGTTCTCAAAAAGGTAGACAACATTTCTCATTTCTTTGAAAGCACAGGAGTCATTTGCTTGAGAATTGCTTGATTGATTTATGAGCTATGCAGGTTTAACTCATCTGACACAGATTTTTGATTGAAGTAGTAAAATAAGCAACGAAATTTTTAAGATTTGAGGCATAAAGGACGGAGAAAATGAAGATTTAGAAATATCTCAATTAAGTAATAAAGAGCAGAAACGAGAAAACACAGTTAACATACTATATCGCAAAAGAAAGTTGATCCGGTCTGGGACTGTGCTTATGCGACGCTCTGAGAGGGTAGCCGCGGCAGCTGGCTTTCTGCTGCAAAGAAATTAGTGTCACTGCCCGAACCTTCACCATACCTTAAATCTCACTTCACCCCCAGAGTCTTGGCCTTGGCATTGAGTGTGTGTGTATTTTGTATTTAGGTACTTGTGCAATGTGGTATTTAGTATAGTTCAACTGTTTTTTTAAAGTTATTTTTTGTTATTTTTGTCCTTAATTTGCACCTATCAACATCTTTATTTACTTCATCTTTCGTAGGGTTGACTGGTAGAGAATGCCATAGGGCATTAAGTCTGCTCAATATAACGACTAGTTGAAGGTGTGTTGCTTTATATATAAAGGATAAATAAGTAAATACAATTAGTTAAGGTACATACGTACTTAGTACTTATGCACGACGCAAGCGACGAGATACCTGCTTAGTGTAACCAGCACTGGTTGAGCAACTCAGGGGCGGTGGGCGCTAGCGAGGGTGCATACAACAACACAGAAAAACAGCCGTAGTCTTGGTTATTGTATTTAATTTGTTAAACATATATAACTTATATTAATATAAGATTTAGAATAAGATAATAAAAAAAGAATGATGTTGTAACTATGCAAATAACTCTCCCAATAAAGGCATCGAATAAATAACGAGAGTTAGCATAGATTTTAAAATATAAATTGTACTCTTATAGTTAATTTACCTTTGTTGCATATCACCTTTATTGTATACATATTACCATTCATATAAATTACCTTTCTTAAGATAATTATAACATTATCAGGGCATGTTATCGTGACGCGGCCGCGGAGTTAATGAAGCTACGCGTAGGGCGTCACGACGTTTTATATTTATAGTGCTGAGGTGCGGGGCAGGGTTCTCAGCTTAAAAATTGTAAATTACAAGGTTTAAAACCTTTTTAGAGTATAAGATAATTATTGTGTACATAATAGTATAAGAATTAGATGTAAAAATATTATATAATTAAATATGTTTGTTAATAAATAAAAATTTTAAAGAAATAAAGAAAGGCGCGGGGGTGAGGCAAGGGTCCGCTGGCCAGCAGTGGCCGAATCATATAAAAGACGGACCGGTCGGTAGGGTCCGTCGTCGCTCTCCAGCCACTGAAAAGGCACTACAAGAAGAAAAAAAGTACAAGTTCCTCCTCACCGCCGCTTGCCTCCTATATAAGCAAGAACAACGCGTTTTATTCATTTTTCGAACGGCGTTACGGCGATCCGTAACATTAATGGTCCTTCGAAGAGCCGAATTAAGAAGCAAACCGCAAGAACGAAAAAATATTATTTTGAAGAAAAATGGTGATTACGCATAGTAACAGCGGAGAATCATCGAAGCGTCGTAAGGATGAACAGACGACCCAGGGGGCCACGGAAGAGACCTCCGGGGGCGACTCAGCCGCAAGTGACTCATCAAACACCACTAGCGAAATCACAACGGGCAGCGATACAACTGCTACCTCTGCGACCGATAAAACGACTGCAACGGAAGAAACCCAGCAAGAGAGTGATCAAAGATCGCAGCGCACATTAAAGCCGGGCGAGACTAGGTCACGCCGCTCCGTAGTCTCACGCAAGAGACTCCTCGCGGAGTTAGAGGCGAAAGAGCGGCTAGCCGAACTCAAGCTCAAGCAGGCCCGATTGCAAGCAAGAACGGAACTGCAAGAAATACACGTGCAGCGACTACAAGCAGAAGCCGGATCAACCGAGGACGAAGAGGAAGAAATAGAAGATGACTTAGCATCAGTGCGCATTAGTACATGGTTGCAAGAAAAACCCACATCACAACCCGCGCCGCAACCCGCGTCACAACCCGCGCCGCAACCTGCACCACAACCCACGTCGCACTTCGCATCGCAACCCGCTCCTCAGTCTGCAACACAACCCGCGCCGCAACCCGCGTCGTACTTCACGTCGCAACCAGCACCGCAGATCGCACCACCCGTACTTCAACAATATGCACCGCAATACGTTCCACAACATACCGCGCCGCAGAAAGAAGACTATGGACAGGCGCAGCAAGAAATCGACGTCGCTACCTTAGCCGCTGCTCTATCACAAGCAGTACGAAGCACAAGGGAGCCGCCGAAATATTTGCAAGAGCTGCCCACATTCAATGGTAGCAGCAAAGAATGGCTCAGCTTCAAAACAACGTACGAAGAATCTTCAAAGTACTTCACGATGAACGAAAACGTAGCAAGAATACGCCGAAG